AGCAATCATGGTCACGGGAGAGACTGAGGTGTTAGATGTCTCTAAGGTATAGTTGTTACAGACCGCCTACCATAATAACAAAATGAAAAATTGCACCAAGTACCTTACAATATTTTAAAACTTTAAACATATTTTTAATTTTAATTAGTTTTATAATTGAATATAGAATATTATTTATTTAATTTCGCTGTTATCATTATAATTATTACCATTTTAAAAATATTAATTAGTAATCTATATTTAGTGTTGCCATTATTATTTTTATAACCATAAAGAAAAATATAAAATATAATATTAATTATTTAAGCCACATAATTGTTCTATGTGTAATTTAAAAAGTTAAAATTAGTTAAGAATAATAATTTTAATTTAGTTTGCTATTATTAAAAAATACAATTGACTAAGCAACACTATTACTATATTTTAAATTTAATATAAGAGGGTGAAAATGGGGATGAAAATTTGTATGGGGTTAAACCTAGTGACGAATCCGAGCGAAGCGACGGTGAGTCGCTAGTTTTAAATATACGAATGTAAAGCCGCCGGCAGGAGTTAGTTACAATAATATTCCTCTCGTGTAACTTTTTAACGAAGATAGAAGTAAATGCTCGGGGCGACAGATAGCGTGATCTCATCCCGTTTAACACGAATACTTTGAACAAAGAAGTTACAGGAGATTGTCTCGGTTTCTAAAGGAAATTTTAGTCAAAACGCGAAGATTAAATATGTCCAGTGTACACGTAAAGTATAAAAGTAAGAAGGTTCCGTAAATTTTGTAAAATCTTATTCGTATAATCCTAGCTTATTTACTTTGAATAATTTGATTATTTGTCACAAATCCGTTTTATCGTTACAGAAACAAATTAATTTCTTTTGATCCTTTCAAATGTTGGAATATAATATTAGTGCATATTAAAATTACGTTATCTATTATTAAAAAATATAAATAGATAAATTAAAACGAAATAATGACGAATCAAAACAAACATATATGTATAACTAGCATTGCCCGCGGCTCCGCCCGCGTTCAGATGACCAAAAAACAAATTCTTAAGTTTTACATATTAGTATACTCTTACATTGCAGTTTTTGTATTTTTTCTCAGAAATGATACATTTTCCCGCGGTAAAAAGTATTCTATAAGTTGACCCGGATAACCAGCTATCACAATACCGAATTTCATCAAAATCCCTCCAGTCGTTTTTCTGTGATGCAATAACAGACAGACAGATAGACAAAAATTCTAAAAACTATAGTTCGGCCTCGTTATCGATAATAATGTTTATTTCAATAAGATTTTCCAAAAAATATTTAATGTACAGATTCGGCTTAGTTACAATTTTATTATATGTATAAGATATAAGAGACTATTGGCCCCAGTCACCACTCACTGTCCTCACAGTGGTGCGGTGCACAATAGGTGATTAGGTCGATGCTTTACATTGTAGCCGCCAAACTACGAACATGGCGCAAAGTATACATTGAGTCTGGATTTAGGTACAAGGTGCTTTAATCGTATGACGTTGTTTTGGAAACATACTAAATATTAGATTCTATACATACATTTTCATGAGATACGATGTTGAAGCAAATGAAATTGGGTTATCTTTTTAAATGCCTGTTACAATCTCTTAGCCGAGTTCTTGCACAAGCTGAAACTATAAATATACGTTATAACTATATTTATAGTTAGCGTTAGCGATATCTCGATATACGGGGTAATTCGAAGGAACAATAATTTATCTATCGCGGTTTTTACATAGCTTCTTCACTTCTTCCATTGCCATCTTTCTTGTTTGCTTCCGAGTCCATCATTACCGCTGTGTCCTTATGGTTTACACTTGAAGATGACCTAAATGGTGCCTGATCACTTTAGTCTGATATCGGTTTGCTATTCTATCGCAATATGAGTGTGAAGAAACAAAAGAGTGCCTTTTGACCCGACTGCGCGGCGCAAAGTAGGGTAATGTGTTTATCAGTTTATGTATGTATGTTTGCTCCTATGTGGCGTTCTAGAGACCAAACGCGTAGGCCGATCTTGATGATTCATACATCGTTAGATTCGTCTTGACATCACAGTTACATATATATCCACATCCTACATTTCTTTTGTTTGTATTTTATTTTATTTTATTTTTTTGTTTTAAATATATATTTTTTTATTTTATTTACTTATTTGGATCCACTAGTGATAATTACATTGAAACATGTTTAAATTAATTACACAATTTAACTTAATCCTAAATGCATTACCTTTTAAAGTGGATGCAGCATGCATTTAAAATTACTTTGCCATGTCAAGCAATGTACCTATTTTTCTGGAGGGATTTGGCGCTGCTAGTTGAAATACAGGTTTCCTAGTTCAGCTACAGATACTTCATTCACCTTATAACGACCTTGTTGTAAATTTTTTTTGGATAATAAAGTTATTATTATTTATTTATTATTATTATTTATTTATTTACATTTCGCGGCAAGGATGAAACGTGTATGTCTCCGAATGCATAATACTATATTCCTTTTTTTTTTTTTTTTTAACGTTGGGTAATGCATTTACGCACGAGGTGTGGGACTCACCGGCAAAGCCAGTACTACCCACTAAAACCCAACAAAGCCTTCCCCCGTCTTAATGGGGCGTCGCAGGATCGCTTACGCATTCAACTACGACGCCCCGACGGCAGGTCTGCCGAAGCAGACCACAATAACCACGGGGTTGCTCCAAGGTCCACTCTGCTATCAGAGAAGTACCAGGAGCAACCCGCATGGTACACCGAAGAGGGCCGCCTCCCACCGCCCACCGAAGTGGGCCACCTCCCTGTGCGTTTCTTGGCTTCGCTCCCGGTTGGGTTGCCGGGCACTACTGAGCCCCCCCACCACGACAAGGTGAACGCACGTTGGGGGGATAATACTATATTCCTTCGTCAACTTCATTTTCATCTTTTTATTAGTTAGCTTTTATGCAGTCGGGTTTTTTATTTTTATAATTTGTTAGTGCACATTTCCTGCACCAAATTGAGAAATGAGATAGTCCGTTGTAACCGACATATGTATGATGCCGTCTTTTATCATTCTTAATGACCATACATAGGTACTTATCTCTTACATGAATATTCTAAGCGACTATCTTGTAAGTGTGGAGTCTAGATTAAAGTGACAAAATAGGTACAAGGACGCGAGTTTTGGCAAAATATAAACCGATGTTTTGTAAACTAATTTCACGGTTTAGCCAATTTCTACCAGATTGTGTTTGAACTGCGGAGATTATTGTAGGTTACACGTAATGAAATGGACCAACTAACGCCAACAGTAGCATTTCATTTCAACTTTAAAATTATAAAAGGTCTAGGCATGTAGGTAGTTTTATATTATGTAACACATACATTAGACCGTTAGGTAGTTAAGGTATTTTATTCGTATTAAATGTATCTTTGCATTACTATTTATCTATAGCTAGTTTTTATAGTCTTTAAGCGTTCCTTTATTATAGAGTTTACTAAAATGTTATTTTAAGTGAATTTTCAATATGATTTTTGTCTAAGTTTAAAAAACTGAAGCTCAAAAACTAAATACTGTTATATCACAGCCCGTACAAAATATAAATAAAGATGCCACAAAATTAAAGACCAGCTCTATTTACTTTACCCGTTCTGGTTCTTATGATATTTTAATGAATAAAGTCACATGCAGTGTAGTTAAATTTTGCGAGAGCCTCATTAAGCTGTAAACGTTCGTCGCAAACGTCGTAATTAAAACGCAAGGAGTTTCCATCTCAAACAGAGTTTTTTTCTCTGTAGCCAGTTCGCGAGCTCACGAGAGCATGAAGCAAACACTACTTCATGACTTGTTTAAAAATAAAAAAATAAATAAATACGTTGGGACATTAACACACAGCACCATCTAGTTCCATGGTAAGCTACGAGGCTTGTGTTATGGATACCAGATAGTTGATACACTACAAATATATAACTTTAAATACATCTTAAATAAATCTTTATTTTGAAATATTATGACTGACTATAAACACCCATGACTGGAGTACAAACCTTCGTCATCACACAAATGAATTCCCCCAGGATACGGACCCGCGATCGCTGGCACCGAAATTAGGGTCACTACAAACTGAGCCAAGCGTGTCGTCAAAAAATTTCCTATGCTGAAATATTTGTATCGTAAATATTTTTTCAGCTTTTACAATTTCTTAATCGAATAAGAACTGTATCTTTACAGGAGATACAATATGGTATCAATCACCATTGGCGTTCAATTATATTGTTATTGTCCTAATATTATCATGGCAAAAGTTTCTGACGATGGATTATGAATGGATGTACATTGCTCTTTCATGTAAAAGCTACCGAACGGATTTTGATAAAACTTATTTTGCTGCTATTGGAGTCGCGGAAAAATTAAAGTCTAGAGCTGAGCTTTAAGCTTTGACCAGCATGCATTATAATGCATTTCTATAGAAAATAGTATAATTTTTATATTTACTATTAAAAGGAAAATACTGGCAAGAAGCAAAGTATGGCTAAAAATGTGAGCTACAGTTGGGAAGCTCGACGCGAGAATTAATTTTACAATCGAAGTGTACCTACATAGTCTAAGATAACAATGGGACGCTTGGGGCTATTTACTTTTACCAATAAATAAAAGTACTTTTTTTGAAATATTAATATTAATACTTTATAACACATCTATTATAGTCATAGCAATAATTATTATATTTTTATCTTTTAAAGTTAAATTACAAGTAAGTAAAAATATCAGGAATTTAATTTTTAATTTCATAATTTTTATCTATTTAAAATAATGAAATTAAAAATTTCATTCCTGATATTTGTACCTTGAAGCTTATTTATTACTTTAGATTTAAATTATGTTGTTAAATTATATTTAGGTAACAAGTTTTTCTCCAAGATTCAACCGCTCAGAGAATGTAATAACAGAATGAAGATGTTTCCAACCGAGTTTAAATTTCATTATTTATTGATCAATCGTAAATGAGTACATTAACAAGCAATGAAAGAGTGTGGAGGAAATTAACGTCCCATTTAGAGGCAGCCGCCGTAGCAGCGGTAAACAAATCGTTAATAATGATTGATAGATCTCAAGCGGCCTTGTCTCCGGCGGCGCGTGCGCACTGCCGGCTCCCGCTGCAGATACGAAAACGTAATTTGTTTCACTTTGATATCTCTCAAACGGCCGTTTCCGACAGCTAAAAGGATTACGCTGCCAGTCTAGCAGTATTTATAGCCGACTATAAAAATAATTTGCGATATGGACACTGAAAGGTCCTAAAGCAAAGGTTTATGTTTATATTTTATAGCATAATCATTTTAGTGACGTGTCAATAAAAAAAATATTTTTACTTTGTAGATACACTACGCTATTTTATATTTTACAAGATAGGTACTAGCAAGCACTACTACAATGACCTAGTACATAATTTTATTCAAATATTACTTTACTTAGATGAAATAGTTTAAATAGCGAGCATAAAGTTCGGTAACGACGCTTTTATTCAATTTCGCAGTACTATTTGATAATGGAGTTACCGGTCGAGTTGACCTAATGCACCCTAATCGTGTTAGCGACTGCTGCCGCCCCCGACCGCGGGACCTCGGGACTGCGGGGGACGCCGCGCCGGACGACGCAAACACTTAAACGCTTCAATTTCAAAGGTGGAGTCTACTTCACTCTAGTGGCTAAAAGCTTCCGAACTTTATACATATAGGATATTTCAACATATAGGATACTTATTACCGCGGGAAAATATTTCTTTTCTGAGAATAAATACAAAAACTGCAGTATAAGAGTATACTAATATGTAAAACCTAAGAATTTGGTTTTTGGTCATCTGAATGCGGGCGGAGCCGCGGGCATTGCTAGTTGTATATAAAAGTTCACGTTTTTGAATTCACGTATTTGATACATTATTATTGAAATGTGTGTAATACGTCGAAGTCGTAATTTTTTTCTTATCACATATCTTACTTTATTTATTCATAACTGTATATTTACTATACAATATATAAATTATTTAATTTAATTATTTAATTTTAACTAGCTTTTCCTTGTATAAATGTATGCCTGAAAAAAATACTTTACTGTAGCGTATCTTGATGAGTGTCGTAGTGCAACTAAAATGTGAGGCAATTAAAAATTTAGGTCTTTCCAGAATTGATTAATAAATGAAATTGAAAATTACAATGAATCCTTAAAGAACTTCTAAAAGTTTTATTGCTTCATGTCTTGCGCCCGAGGACGAGACACTGGAGTCCATCGAGAGCAGTTTGTAATAGCCGGTAGTTTTTTTAATTCTTCATTATTTGTCTACAATTTTAGAGCTAAAAGCATAGAGTGCAATAGTAATTATATATAATTAATTAGTCAATTTAGAAAAAAAATGACAATGTCAAAAAAAAAATTATTGTGTAATCAAAATGTATTTTAAAATATATACGAAAATAACATTAAAAATTTAAGTAATAGAATAAAAAAATCTTTTAAAAGACAACAAAATCGAAAGTACATAATAATTACAAAACTTCTGCGATACCATTCAGACAAAGAGAGACAATAGCATTCCCAAGGAGGGTTGATGTCAGGCAGGCTGCCGGTTGTAAAACTTTTGCCAAATCCTATTAGCAGTACAGAAGATGTACTGCGCCGACCCCAAGTAATTTAGAAATGGGCAGGGAGAAGAAGAAGAAGAATTAGTCAATCTAAGACTATTAAAGGCCCGGGCGGGCGCTCTGGCTTGTAAATAAAGACCTACATCAATAACGGTACCCGTCATATTGATAATAAGGGTATAGCATATTCAATACAGAGTAAAAGTTAATTATTATAAAAATACTATTACTTACAAATAAAAAGAATCGTTAAAGTTACTTATATTAAAATCATGCTATTATAGAAAAAAAAATATTTTTTATTTACTATTTATTTTTGATTTCTTAATAAATGAAAAAAAAAATATAATTTTGAAATACCCGGCATCCTAATACTGAAAGGTAGCGATTAAACGCTCCGCCGGAACGTCCGGCGCGCTCCACTCGCGCCTCCCACCGCCTCTCTGATCGCCCACAGGACCTAGATTCTGTGCAAATGAAATATTAAAAATTTGAATATTCAACACAAAAGGCTATTGTTTGAAAATCCTTTGTAAAATACTTTTGTAATTGAAAAATGTTGCTTTTGTTTTCTTTGTGATGATCTGAATCGATTTTCATTCAACTGTAATGTCTTGAAACCGAATATATATTTTGCAGTCTGATCGTCCACAAAATATTTACACGGACATGCCTATAAAAATTTGCTAAGTAAATCCTATACCAGGAAGCATTTGTTGAGTCCAGATGTACCCCGTCCATGGGAGGCGGCCGACAGTTGGCGCGGCGCAGGACGCTGCAAGCGGGCGGACGACGCAAACTATTCTCGTATTTATATTAATGGTACAAGAGGCCTAATGGATCGAACGACCAGGCTTTTTACAGCTCTGTGCTCATCCGCAGTGCGCATTGCGGACGTCGCCCCCGTAGTGCGGGAAATGCAAATTACAGCAAAAAACTATCCATGGAAGAAAATTTACAGACGCTTCCGATATTGTTTTTAGAGATATGTAGTATATCTATATCTAGGTTATACAGCTTACAATACTTGTAAAATTCTATTATTGTTGTATTTGAATAAAAAAATAAGTCTAAAACTTTAAGTTGTTGAATAAAAGGAAATCTTAGACAAAAACCCGACAATAACCATTGACAATGTGGAGTCTGTACATCAGTATCGTCTTAATGAATTGTTTGATAGCAGGATTACCACTCATCTTTTAATATTTCACAAAAGCTTTGATTATAAAGACATTTAAAGAGTTTGTTTAAGTAGTTTCTAATGCTAGACGTGTGAAAGTCGTAACACCAAAATAACGAAACTCAGTGCGTAACGAAACACCTTTTATTTCAAGAAACGTTTTCAGTAAAAGAATATGATGAAATTGTATGTATCATAACAGTTGCCTTACGCAACGCCAGATGGTCGCGGCTGGACTGCGTACGGTGGTCGACGCAGCTGGAGTTATAGGAAACACAAGGTATTCAGTGAGGGAGCACAATATTACGGGACGGGTGTATTGGGAGTGGAGTCGGTCAAACGTGTGTTCTGAGTGTAGTGTTGCAGATCGTTGCTCGTAAATCATAACCTGGTTTAGCGGCGTGCGGTGTGACGCAACGCGCACAATCAACGCATTCATTTATAAATTTATCCAACTGAATTTCTCTGTACATGTTCATGGGTGTAGCTTAGTTATTTTGTGCTTATTGCAGATTAAAATTGAAATATTATGTTTGATTGTTTAAAGCTATTGTGAACTCACCGAATGATATTGTAGTTTAGACTCCACTCTTAGACCACTTCAATGTTAAGGAAATGCATATTATAATATGATTTGATGATCTAGTGGTTAGCATGTACGGCTGCAGATCCGTAGGTTCTAGGTCTGAGTTCTGGATCGGGCCTTTAATTATTATGTTGTTCTATCAAGAAATTGTCCCCGAGGCTCGGTGGGCATGTAAAGTGGTCGATCCTGCGCCTTTTTCTCAACGGTAATATTGGTGGTGACCTTTTTGTTGCTACAATTACAGAAATTTAATGTATAATAAACCACATGTGATCATTACTTGTTTTTTTATTTCTATTATCACCTAATTATGATCCTAACAATAACCGCATCAGAGAAGATAAAATATTACTAGATATTTTAGATCATTAGATCATTGACCGATAGATTAGATCGATTAGATGATCAATAATATTTATAAATCAGTTTAAATTAAACTAATTAAGGCATGTACTTACAATCAAAATAACATATAAGCCTTATACATATATTTATTTTTGGATTCGCTTCCGTCTCCGCTGCGCGTGCTCATGTGACTCAGGGCTGCGCAGTTCTCGTAAAACTTTAACAGCGCAGTAAAGACGAGTGGCACGCCGCCCATCGCTGGCTGTGCCACACGCTGTGCCTACTTCTCATGCAGTTTTCTTCGATGCTGTAAGATTAAAAAAATATACTAGCGCTTACTACCTATTATAAGAGATAAAATCGCTAATGAAAATTTAAAATTTTGCATTCCATTCTTAATATACTTTATTTTAACTTGTATGTACGAGTATATACATACATACATATTATACTTAATATCATTTTGCCGAAACTTATAATATCAATATTTACTCCAATATTAATATTATTGGAAAGTTTCCAGTGCCTCTGTAAAGTGGCAAAGGCATATGTTTGTAAACTATCTTGTATAATGAATTTTAGTAATAAAAAATCCATTTTTAAGCCGCTTCATCGTCAAAACTTTACATAAATACTTTAAATATGCATGTTGTGTTCACCTTAATATAGATTTACAATTTACAAATGTTATCTATGATATTAATTATAGTGCTAGTATTAAATAATTTTCAAACTGCTGGTAGACCTTAAATAAATAAATTTCCTGTAAATGACTTTCTTTGTAGTGGTCCACAGCACGTTGTAGACATTTTAATCACATTTACAATCAGAGAAAGTAAGATCCTATTACTGAGTGCGATTTAGCTTTCATAGTACATTTAGCTCGTTGTCTGGAGAGCGTGTAACTACTGTTGGGCGGGACTTCGTAGTTCAAAGGATGATGGGTTAATACTCTGTTTAATGCTGTATATAACACTACAAAGACGTACTTGTTCTATTACAAACTAAAGTTCAATATTATTTTCCAATTTTTTGTTACACTAATATGCTATGGGATTTTCTTCTTGTATCGGAAAAATATTCAATTCAATTTTCCTATTAATGGCTTCCGAGCGTGATCGGGAAAATTGTTGCCTTGATCGTTGTCCATTGCCTCTTTATTGTATTGAAGATTTGATATATAAAATAATTTATCATTTACTTTGTAACTTAATAAAATAACGTCAATAATTATCACCTTCGTTTACATTTTTGTTAGCATAATTAGACTTCTCCACTCATGGTTATGTGTATCTTTTGTTATTTGGTGTTTTTTGTCATCACGCCACATTTAGTGAGGTCATTCTGTTAATTGTTAACAACAAACTACTGTATATTTCCACTCATTTGTGTACAAGAGTTATTTGGAAAATTTATATGAAACCTCTAAAAGAATGAAACATTTTACGTCAAGTACAGCTAACGATTCTGTAGACGAAAATATTTTATACGTGCTATATAGTCTGTAGTATCCTCTTGTAACTTGTTATATTATAGTGTAAATAGAATATAAAACTTTGTTTTTCATTTTTTATCCTTCTTTCTAAAGATTTGTATTGGGAAATTTTCAGTGCTATGCTTCGTAAAGGTCCTTTAGATATGGTTCTTAAGTGCAATCTTCATTCGGTCGATATGTCCGTCGCGGTACTCTTTTAAAAAAAACAATACCTTTTCTATACATATAATAAAATTGTAACTAAGCCGAATCTGTACATTAATTATTTTTTTTGGAAAATCTTATTGAAATAGACATTATTATTGATACAGAGGCCGAATCTATAGTTTTTAGAATTTTTGTCCGTCCGTCCGTCTGTCTGTCTGTTACCGCATCACAGAAAAATCACTGGAGGGATTTTGATGAAATTTGGTATGGTGGTAGCTGGTTATCCGGGTCAACATATAGGATACTTTTTACTGCGGAAAAATATCTCTTTTTGAGAAAAAATACAAAAACTGCAATATAAGACTATACTAATATGTAAAACCTAAGAATTTGGTTTTTGGTCATCTGAACGCGGGCGGAGCCGCGGGCAATGCTAGTACATAATAAGTTAACGTTAGTTATCACGCCGCCATGAATTCTTAAATTTGAAATCGTTTACGCCCTTTTCAGATCTTTCTCCTTAGGAGTGATTTGTTTTGAAACAACGAGGATAAGGAAGTTTGCGTTGCTTTACCGAAGAAAATGCCAACGATCGATTTTACGTGTTTTTACTTAATGCATTAACAATGCATTAAGTTAGTTTAAGATAGTTTTATTTAAATTCTTTTTGTTTATAATAATATATTCTCCTATTCCACCATTTCATTGATAGATAGTATTGACTATTCTTACTTCAGTACTTACTGAAGTGAATTTTTTTAATCACGTTAAAAACGTTTCATCTTTGCCGCAAGATGTACATAATATGTATGTATGTATGTCTCCGAGTGCATAATACTATATTCCATCGTCGACTTGTTTTCATTTTTTAGCTAGCTTTAATGCAGTCGGGTTTATTATTTTTATAATATATTTATTTATTTAGTATTTTAAATAGGAAAATTAGCGAGAATGGTTGTTAGCTAACTTTATATATCCTAATCGTTATATATTCTAAACTGTTATTTAAAATGAGAAATGATGAAAGAAACCTAAGAATGATTTTTAAATACCAATTCAACGATAGGTACCCTATTTGACATAGTTCGTCGATTTTCATTTTTTTCTTTTTCACATTATGGAATCTAGCAGCCCCCTTTATTTATTTTTTATGTCACCTATCTAAGAACACTTGGACTAATGAGACTTAATTAAAGAAATCCATCGAGTGATTTGGAAGATACTCATATCTTCCCTCAGGAATAAAGAATGTTAGAAATAAACATACAAAGATAGGCGTGAACAACATAACCCTTTCCTTGCAGTCGGGTAAAAACGAAGATCACATCCACAGTCCCATTAGAAATGCTTCTACAGCGAAGTTTGCGGTTTTTATTCCAACATGGAGGAGATGTTAATCTATCTATATAAATAAAAATCAATTGCCAAATGTATGTAAGCGAACTATTTCAGAACGGCTGCACCTATTTGGGTAATTCTTTTTTTGTTGTGTTTGTGATTGTCAGGACAAGGTTTGGGTGAAAATATTTGAAAAATTGCACGGAGTGAAAAATGGGTTAAAAAATAAAATAGTGAGTTGACAGATTGACGCTCAGTTGTTCAGTTTCCTCATCAAGACAACAATATTTAAAAAAGGAATTGACAGTTTTGTCAAAATGTAAGATAATTATATTTATTTATACTAATATTATAAAGACGTAAAGTTTGTGAGTTTGTGAGGTTGTAGGGAGTAATCTCTGGATCTACTGAACCGGTTTAGATGAAATTTGGTAAGAAGATAGTTTGAGACCCTGGGAAGGACATAAGGTACTTTTTATCCCAGAAATCATCCCTTAAGGGGGTGAAAATGGGGATTGAGGTTTGTATTGGGAAGAAAGCTAGGGATGAACCCGTGCGAAGCGAGGGTGAGTCGCTATTAAACTTATACAGGAGGGGATTTGGCATAAATATATAAATAAAACTAAAAATTTGGTACGGTCGTCGGTCATCTGCAGATGATTATTTATTATCAAATACGCAAAATTAAAAAAAATCTATTAAAATATTGACTAAAATAGACATAACCTTTGCCACAAGCAACTTTTAATTAAGACAGATATAATGATTTTTGATCTTAATATATGTGGTAATAATACGCTTAACGTGTCATATAATAAGTAGGTACGCATACAGTTCGTTTAGTGGTAGTGGAGTAAAAGACGATATTCTAACATTACTTGAGAAGTGTTCTATAATTCTGTCTGTACATACATAATGTGTCATTAAAATTTTTCATCCCAGTGAGTATGTCTAGGAACCTTGAATCAGTTACATGAGACACGTGCGACAGGAGCTGGCGGCGGCGGCGTGTGCTGGAGCTGTAAACTTTATAGACCATTTGATTACATTTTAGGACCCACCTCTTAGGTTTTCTATGTTTGTGTTTGTATTTAGCTCCAACGCGACTTATACGATTTATTAATTGCCCATTGGACATATTTCTGTTTGTAATGTTTGCTTTAAAATATAACGCTTTACGTATTTTTTCTATAATGTTATATAGTATAGTATTATATGATCTGTGATAGAACTAAAGACTTCACAGTGATACCTAATATGAATAGAAAATACGTCTTTCGATCGATATCAATTTCTATAAAGTTTGTTTGAAAAAATCAAAAATTTAAATTATATTATTATACTAGCTCCTTACTCTCGTTTCGCTCGAATGCGTCTCTAGGTACGCGGATTTTATTTACAATTTCATGGGTTTTGATTTTTTGTGCGGAACCCTAATTCTTTTCCTAAAATAAAAGTAGCTTATGTGACTTCTTAGAACGTCAGTTATCTGCCAATGAAAGTCCAGTCAAAATCGGTCCAGTCGTTT